GCCTTCTTTTAAACTCGGCTCCTCGAAACAATGCTGAAGCCTACTGGCTTTACAAAATTATCTTGTAGGACATTATTTCAGCCACTCGAAAACCGCATTGCTACCACATAAATGCCATCGCTTTATAGAAAGTGAATAGTCTACCTCTCAACGTGTACGTAAGGAAATGTTTGTAGTCAGTTCTCATAGTTGACTGATGGAAGCAAACTGCCAACAGCATCAATGCCACTGCTGCCACAAATTTTAACCCTGCATAAAGTATTGTGAGAACTCTTATTAGTTTTTTCATTAGTGCCGTTAAAACAAAGGTGATACAGGCAGTCGCAGTGACTGCTTGATTTCCAACTGGACGACACGGAGTGAACCAATGTATTAACATCAAGGTGAGGTCAATCCATTTCCCCCTTGTGACGGCAATTGCTTGAACCACGACATTTCTGTCACACAGTCAATCTGTGCTAGCACCTCTTCATTATGGTGGGCTGAAAAGGTCTCTATTTATTTCCATGCATTCGTTTATATTTATTTCTCTCCACGTATCCGTTTATTTTCCTTCTTCATGCTTTATCTACACAACTTTTGCATTACTAACGCTAGCATGCTCGCACAACAATTTGGGCACAAAATAGCTCACAACGAAATATCATTAATTTCCCAGCTGAATTGCGATTAAAATTATGCGAATTCCTCAGTGCCTCAGATTTGGTAAATCTCTGCATGAGTATTTCATACTGGAGGTGGATACTTTCCACACGGACATTCTCCACTCTCATATGTCGGCACATCTACCGATGGACCTGGTTGGACAAGCGTCTCTGCCAGCTACTTTTCCCACAACTTTCACTAGCTTCTTTTTGAAATGCTCCTGCAGCCATTCGATACCACATGGAACAAAGTGACTCCTGTCAATGCCTTTTATTAACGCTGGCGCAAAACCAACAATACATTTCTATACAAAATCGCCTAGTCTAGGCCTGCCATCCTCTTGCAAATGTAGACTTCTGTTAGCTTCACTATATGTTGAGGATACCAAGTACGTTCCAATGAACGCGTTTGCGTTTGGCGCAAATAATGGTAGGGCACATAGATCTAACTCGCACTGAGGTTCTACTGAAAGTGTTGTGGGTTAGGATACGAGAAGGATCCCATGTTTAGGAGAACGAGCTAAACCTGGCTGCAACAACTGCATTATCTACCTTGTGGGTCCTTTGCGATTCCACAGGGATGATCTGGCAGCCACCTTAGAATCTGTTGCACCCATTCAAGCGTTAGTTTATGTTATCGTAATAAA